ATTGCAATAATATTGTATCGTGAGTTGTATGGTGATTCCCACCTCTAGTATCCAGTCTAAAAGTCATTGTCTGGACAGCAAAGTTCATGTATTGCTGTATAGATCTGCTGTTTTAGTCTGAATAAAACTGTGACAGGTGATGTGTGGACTTTAAAGCAGGCAGACACAGTTTAATCAGCTTCCTTGTACTTTAACACTTGGACTGTGTTGTTACTTTTTGTTACTTTTTTAAGTGTAACAGCTATAAAAAGCAGTCGTTTAAGAGCCCAGGTCTAGCAAAAATTAGAGATGAGAAGGAAGGAAGATGCAAATCTAATTTAACCTTTTCAGCTTGCAGCTTTTGGCAGTCTTAACGCTCTACTTGTCATAAGAACAGATTGCTGAAGAAGATGGCATCAGAGTTGTGACCTGATATCACACGTAGTGTCAGGCACAGTTTTATGATTGACACTGTGAGGAGCTGAAAGTATTCACAGTTCTCTCTCTCTGTGCCAGCGGGGTGCAGATTAGGATACTGTATATTCATGCTGTGTCACTGTAAACAGCTGCAGACGCCACAGTTTGTCTCTGCGACATGAGTGAAAGAGAGTTCAAGGAGATCAGCGCTGACATAACTGCACATCAGTGATGAAGGAGGGGGAAACTTGTGTTGTTTGCATTTTTGTCTGTTTGTGCGGTGTGAAGAAAGACGCGTACAAAAGCTGTCGAAGCAACAGACAAATTTATTTACACTGGAGTAAAATCAAGCTTCTTAACACGAGCTGCTCTCAGTGTTTTGTTGTTTTCTGGTAAATGGTTACATCCTCAAGCTGGCATGTGTTCTCACGGCTGGGAACAAAACAACAAAAACGAGCAGCAGGGGGTTTTCACTGTCCTATTGTAGAACTGGCTGCAAAACTGTGGCTCATTTCAAATGTCATTTTGCAAAATGCAATTAAAAAGATTGCAAAAAAAATGAATTAATTGCTTTCTGATTACAACATAGTTTAATGGTGTTGCCTTTGGGCCATAGACTAAAACAAAGGCGTCACACAGACCTCCAGTTGTATTAGTAGTTATTAACCAGGAAAAGGGGTACAGTTGGGTTTTTGGCTAACCCTAGTTTCTAGCTTGGTTGGTGTTACTAAGTCCTAACCACTTATGTCTGGTTAGCAAAGCTGGTATGCCAGTATTATACACTTTCGAGGCCAGTCAGCATCCCCTGGCAACCCCTGGTTTCCTGGGGAAAATGTGGCAAGTGGTTGTGGCAGTTTGGTGGATACATGTTGTCATACCAAAAAGCTCCTGTTGCTTATTACAAGGTTTGCATAGAAGAGTTTCACTTGTCTGTAGGGCTGCCACAAACGATTATTTTGATAGTCGACTAGTCACCGATTATTTTTGCGATCAGTCGACTAATCAGATCAT